GCTGTGTGACTTTGAGCTTGTTGGTCGGTTGTGTACTGTGGAAGCCTGAAACGTTGTAACCCTCGCCTCTCCTAAAACCCAGCCTAAGCGAAGCGTCTGAAGGCGCGTTCGGGTTTTAACGAGCTTTCTTTTCTTTGCCGCAATAGTCGGCTACCTTAGGGAAGCGGTGTGCAGTTGTCCGGCGTGCCTTGAAGGCCATTCTTGTAACTTGCTTTGAGATACGAGTACGCAGCGCCCGCCTAATAGTCGACTCAACTCGACTAGTGCCTTTTGAGGACTTCTCATCAGTGATGTCTCTTGGGAGGACTCACAATACAGTGAATAAGTCGACTCCCCAAACTACCACTCGAAAAGGGGATGTGACTTTATTTGCTGTTGAGTAGAAATTTGCTTTGGCAAATTAGCTTGCTTGATTCATCATATCTCAATCCACTCGAGTTTTGACTTTTGGGCAGGTCATGAATCTCATGTTGCAACTTTGACTTGCAACAGCTGAGGATTTCTTTTTTTCCCGCCCGACCCACCCTTGAAGTCGCTTCATGTTGTAGGCCTACCCCTTGGCCGTTTTTGCCTTTAGGCAATGTGGACCAGCCCCAATCTCCCCTCCCCTCCCTTCCCCGCCCCTCTCCCCCCTCCCCTCCCCTCTTCTCCCTTTCCCCTCCCCTCCCTCCCCTCCCTCCCCTCCCTCCCCCCCCGCTCCGCACCAACAAACTGCTTCCGCCAAATGCTTTCCCCTGCGTGACCGGCGCCACATGCGCAGGCCATATCCATGTACTGGATGTGGACAGGATTAAGGAGCACATGGAGGACCAAAAAATTTGTAAAAATTTGTGTCCTCTGAATATTAGGGTGTTTTTTCAATTCACGACCAACATCTTAAAAACATCTTCCTTCCAAATACGGCCCGTCATTCAGATATCGACGTTTTCGAGGACAAAAGCAACACGGCGCCACCGCGCAGCACCTCCGTGCGCTACATCCACTCGGATGCCACATCCACATCCCCATTTTTTGACACCAGCATGGGCATGCGTTTTGCAATTTACCATGGGTCGCGCTGACCGGAGGACCGCCGTGTCCACCGAGTAGGAATCGTCAAGGTTCCAGATGTGTAGCGCCATTTCTCGTGATGCTTATGTGACTCCCGCTGCCAGCCTTCCCCCGTGTGTTGAGGGATATTCATAAGCAACTTGAGAACCCAAAGGCCAACCAACTTCATACAACATTTATGCCGTGCCATCTATGCCATGCAACTACATGATTCAACATCATCATCCAATCAACATCCTTACGTCACGCCATCCAAGCCATTTCTATGGAAGAACCTTTCGACCATTTACTTGCACACGGTAGGGAAGCTGATAATGTTTGGTGCAGATGAGTCGTGCCAGAAGCGGAGATCTGTGACAAGGTGGCTTCGATTTGGACCAATCGTCGAGCAATGTTTTTGACCGTCCTGTGCCGAGGAGCCGAAGCCGGCAACAGATATCAAGGAGGCTTGAACAACTACATGATCACATCGTGCAGTTGCTTGATTTCGGTCGAAGATCAGTTTTGTCAAAGTACCATCATCTGCAATGTTGCTGAACCAGTCTTCCATGAGGTCGGAACCCGACAGCTTTCGACGTGACCGGCCCTCTGCGCATCCTCATTTTAGGTGTGGGACCTTGTATATATATATATATAACATACTGTCTATTGTTATCTACAACATGCTGTCTATTGTTTTTTCCAGCCCCATGTGGCTTCTAGGTTTATTCGGCTTGAAATGAACCAGTCAGTGGACTTCTCAACGTGGCAGGTGGAGGAAGGGAATGATTCTGGCGCAGGGCAGGCTGCCGACTATGTGCAGCTTCGTAGTCTGTAGAGTGAGTTGCAGGTACGAGGTTCACGGCCGGCTTGGGGAGGGAACCTTTGGCCGCGTTCTTGCTGCGAAGGCACCGTCTGCGATTTGGGAATGTATCTTAGGGTGGGAAGCTTGAGTTCCAAACAGTCTTTTGTATAAGCGGTTGCGGTGGATCAAACGTGCTGATGATGGTGGTGAAGATGTCTCATGATGTGACGGTGATGCAACAAGAAGAAAAAGAGCTAGGATACGCGCGGAAAGAAGAGGTAGGAGGAAGAGGATGAGCTTGAACAGGAGGAAGAAAGGTCAAGGGCATGGTTGAGGTTGAGGCCCCTCGAAAACCGTACGAAGTTGCATGCCATTGTTTACCCCCGAACTGAGAAGAGTCCTTGGCTTTGCGGGAACTTCGTTTCTCATGCTCAGCTTGGCATTGGTGCTTCTGACATACCGTTTTCCATTGCGTGCAGGTGCGATACTAGAATGCAACGAGTTCTCTGCCCTTAGCGAATATCCATGAGCAACTCATGATACGGGCCCATACTGCAGAAGCTTCTGCACCGCGGCTATCGCAAGCAACGTGAGAGAGGGAGCAAGTCGCCCTCGCGTGACCAACTGACGAGGATCTTCAAACAGGACAATCAGTGGCTGTCAAAGTTGGCAAAGGCGTGGATGCCTCAGTACATGTCTGCCAACATCCGTGAGTGCCGATCTCCAAAGCTGTACATACATGTCAATGCGCGGTTTTTTTGCAATGCAGGGAGATGAGTTCTGTGAGCAGGCGGTGGAGGAAGTGGAGGCTGGATCGGTAGTTAGTCTAGTCTGAGTGAAGCAAGTAGGCAGGCATGTCGGCAAAAGAGTCGTGTGTTCCCTTTTGCAGATTCTTCAACACATCCAGCACTTACATCCTGGCAGGCCTCAGCCAGCCGCATTGAATTCATTGCAGGTGCTTTTGATGTCCTGGCCCTTCAGGGAAAGCTTTTGTGTGAAGTTCCTGGACAGCTGCTCGGCCACGCAGAAGGCTGCGTTTTCTTTCTGCTTTAACTCTGCATTTCGTCCTGAGCGGAGAGGCCCCTTGAGCGTTGAGCCTGAGGTTTCCTGGAGCCTCCGAAGCATTTCTGAGCCGATCTTACTCCGGGTCTGGATTGTGGGTGCAAAGCTGACTGTTCCTTGCAGACGGGAGACTTCGAAGGCCTGGTGTTCGAGCGCTTGGGCATCAGCCTCCGCGACTTCCTGAAGAGGACGACACGCTTTGGCAGTGCTTGTGGCGACAATCATTCCATCGCAAAGATTCTTCGGCGATCCGTGTCGTCAGCTTTCTGCTTGCGGCGCCATGCAGCGCAGAACATCTCTCTATAAAACTCACTGAGTAACTTAGTAGAACTGCTCTTAGCATTACGCATCATCGACGTGCTTGAGCCGAAGGAACAGCAGCTGTGGGCTTTTTGTGGAGGACACCCTTGATGCTGGAGCATCTCCATGTACTCTTCCTGACGACGTGTTCGCCGATCATATGATATTCAAACCATGCCTCTGTACATGTTCCATCATGTTCTGATGCCTTCCCGCCAGCGGCTGGAAGTGTCAAAGTGCAATCAAAGTGATTGAAAACAAGAATCACTCGGCGTTTTCAGCCCGGCCTCTGCTGGCTAGGACCTGCGACGAATCGCCCAACAGCTGCTCCAGGGCTTGGCGGGCCTGCACACTGCAGGCGAGCGGAGAGCGGAGCATAGCGGAGCTTGTGGGATGCCTTTGTCTGGGGCGGTTCCGATTGGCGTCTATCGAAGGGACCTGCCAACAATTCGCATCATGTCAGTTTGGCTCAGCTGACGGCGTGTTGGACTGTCTCCATTTTGTATCACAGTGTGACCTTGCACAACATACTGGTTCTCATGCAACAGCTTCAACCAGCAGGGCATTCCTGTTGCACAGGCAGGCTTATCAAGCTAAGAAAGTCCAGACGTGGTGCGACGTGCGAGCGGTCGAAATGAAGAGCGCTCTAGACTTGGAGTGGACCTCAGGGGCCGTTGCTCCCCCTGCTGTTCTGATGGTGGTACTGGTAGTGAATGATGTACTTATGTTTGCTGATGTTAAGGCTCAAGCTGGTTCGACTCCCGAAACTTCTGGAAGATCATGAAGTTGCTCCCAACCTTCGCGTTTAATGCCATCGCTCGCATGTATCCTATCACCAACACAGATGTGCAAGGTGCCTGGCTGTATACCTTGGGAGTAACCCCTACGAGACAACCAGGTTTGCTTCAAAAACTGCTTGGCGGGATTGCATTTTGGATCATTTGTTACACATGGCATCGCACGCAACGAAGATTGTGGCTTGAGTGGGACCTGCCTGGAGATCCTGGGCAGGTGGTGACTTTTCAGAGGGCTCGCTCTGGAGATGTCCAAGTTGCACTGAACAGTCTGGCCGTTCTTCTTCCTTCCATCTTCTGTTTCTCTTGCTACGCCTTCAGTACGACCCTGCTCCGGCACGTCGTGAACCCGGTCTTCACACCAAAGACACGCTTGAAGCACGTCTTGCTGACCGCTTTGATGTTTGCCATGGCCTTTTCCCTCAATGTTCTGATGACTTCCAACTGGGTGGTCTGGTCGGTGGCCGTGTTCACCTATGCCAGCTGGGCATTTTGCGGTCGCACTGTACCGACTGAGATGACCAATTTCCCTTGGACTGGAACACTCACAAAGCTAAGGAGTGCCCAGGAATCTGGAGAACTCGGTATTCTCACTCGTCGTGCAGACATCCAGGTTGAGAGCATTTGGATGGGCGATGAGTCTATTTTGGTGGAGAGATATGGTGACCAATGGGTGTACAAGGCTTACTGCGGCCGGGCCAATATCTTCCGGCCTGATGTTTTTCTCGTGCTCTGCACAGCACTTTTTTGGCGCATCCCTTGGTTCATCCTTGGAACCGGGAACTACAATCAGTGCGTAGGATGGGCGGAGCTCTGCATGATCTTCTACATCCCCTTTGGCTACCCTGCCCTGGCAACCTTTGGATTCCGTCTCGCTTTGGCAAATGGCTCGATGATTTGTGCCATGCTGTTGATTGTAGCCTGGCCTCTTGTGAATTTATTTCTGGGAGGAAAAGGCTGCAGCACCCTAACAGATCTGGTGCTTGGCGACTATTTGCCAGAGATCTGGAGCCCCACCGCAAGAAACATCACCTTCAATCGAGGCTATGAGGCCTGTTCTGTGCAGGCCTATGAGGAAGGGGGCGAGGCGTTGCTTGTTGCTAGCACAACAGTGGCAGCATGGGTGCACATCATGTCCAACTACTCGTTCTTGTTTGGTTTTGGCTTGGGATTGTACAGAAAGACTTGCGACCCAGTTGAAGAGGTACGAGTAGACATGACCATCGAGCAGGCAAGGTTAGAAATGAATTAGGCCCAGGCAAGATCTCACTACTGGTAACAAAACCGTCGTTGCACATTTTGTACATTTTTGGAATCAGTTTTTTGATTCGCAGATTTTATGCGGTTACCAAGGATGTTGGAACGCACACCATGTATAGACAAACATGTACAGACAATTTCATGCGCCTGCAGTAGCTGCAAGTCCGCGCAAAGAGTGAGCCCAAAATATCGATTTGCCGACGCTCTACAAGAAGACTATGTAGACCGAACATGGATGTTTGTAGAGGTTTGCCATGAAATAATCATGATATCATGGCAAGCGATTTATTGTCTTTATGCTGCTGCGAGACTTTGCTTCTGTTGATCGGGTGGAGATCTGTGAAGATCCAAGCACTGGCAGCACTGCAGCCAAGTGGGCAGCTGATAGATACAGAACAGCGACCAGTATTTCCTCGTAAAGTTTGGCCGGTTAAATCCTGCTAAACATGGTGGACCCTGTTGAGGGTATGGGCAGCACAGTTCGGGTCTTTGTCGGTCGTCGACGCAGGTATCCTACACACAGATCTGCCATGGCCCCAGCCATGGGCCATGCCATATTGGTTCAAGCACTGCGGTTAATGCAGGTAGGCCTTGGAGAGCGAATATTCTCAACTATCCCAGGAAGTGTCGAAATGTGATGCTCAACGACGAGCGCTACTGTGCAGCACCGCACCCGCGGGACTGAGTGCGGGTAGTTTAGAGTCCATGTGCTAGCCCTGCGCATGGCAGTTTACTTCGTTTACTGACGAGGTCGTTCAGAATCAGTGCCCTTCAGTGCCATTCGCGAGGATCCCGGCACGGAGGCCTTGCGACCACAGGATTGCAGGAGCCTCGATTTGTCTGCGCCTTTATGGGCTGTGTCACAAGTCCCGCACGTGACATGCAGGTAGCATCAGGATCGTCGACTTCGGCTCTGCGATTCACCAGGACGAAACTTTCCGCGGCCGTGCTTGCACGAGACAGTTTAGAAGTCGGAAGCTTGGTCTGTTTTTCCTAGCCTTTTCGGACATTCTTGCAGATCACAGTGATCGATTCTTGAGCCGTCCGGAGGGTCTGCAAGGGCATCAAAAATGAGAAGCAGCTGATCAAAGAAGACACGGTTCAGCCTGCATGCTCCTTTCTCTGAGGCCCGGAGGTTGCACTTGGCCTGCAATGGGATGAAAAATTGGACATTTGGAGTGCAGGCTGAGGGGGGGCTTCAGCAGCTAAAGGGGTATATGGAAAGCGGAAAGCACGTGCAAGCCATGCTGTGATGGTCGAAAAGCCAACAGCTCCGCACTACGCAGAGAGAACTCCAGGCTGCATTATTGCCATGCTCTACACCGGTGTGCGACCTTTCAGCGTGTGCGTGCCTGAGCACTTCAGTTCCGCCTCCCGACACTTGTAGGGCACCCGAAACACAAGCATTTTGAATGCTGATGCGGCTTTTTGAGGCACGAGAACCAGGAGCACCTGGCGATGATGGAGAGGCGAGAGCTTCTTGTCTCCTGCAGAAAGATCGACACTTCTCGAAGAGGTTGATGGATGATCGGTTTCCAAAGCACATGCTACGAACAGTCCGGGGCTTGTGATATGGTGCGAGATTCAGGAAGCAGGTGTTCTGAGATCAAAGAGTCTGTTGTGAATTATGCTTCTTATCTTCACATGACGAGGCCAGGCGAAATCGGACCGACCAAGACGAGGTGCAAGTCACAGCAACACAGTGCATGAGCTGGGTTGCTTCTCTCTAACCGCCACAGTCGGATCTTGTCCTACTGTAGCTGAGTAGAGATTTTTCTCCGGTTGCGGCTGCTGGCATTGCTTTTGCAAAGTTGCCATTGGTGACGCCATATTGTACTGAATGCATGGCCCTGGCATGCAGCTGTTTTCCGCTTTAACAGCACATGGGACAGATGCACGGAGATGAAGATACTGAATATAGCTGAGTATTGAGCAGAATGAAAATAGCACAGAGTTTCAGCGATTCAGTCGAATTTAGCGCCGCTTTTGTCTTGCTGGGATGGCCTTCATGGCAGGTTTATTAACTCAACTCAGCAACGCAAGCTTACATTAATCGGATAGAAGCCCTGGAGGGGCAGCTTGTCCTTGCAATGCCCATGCCGGCAACCTCCAACCAATCGACTGAGACTCCCATCTCGTCCCTGGATGCGAGCAATCGCACCGAAGAGGAGGAACCGGTCTGTGAGGTGCCCCGGTCTACTGTGTAATATCATAGTATATACAGAATGCGCCAGGGAGCCGGCAAGGTGGCGAGGCTAGGCGAGGATGGAGGTTCAGTTTCCATGAATGCAATATGTCTACTATTATTCGATATATATATGTATGTATGTATGTATGTATGTATGTAGAATATATAGTATATAGCATATGTATGATATAATATTATGGATAGATAGATGGATAGATAGATAGATTAGATAGATAGATAGATAGATAATATATATGGTATACACATTTGTTATCGCGGCAGCCAGTTCACCCCAGTCACTCCCCCTCAGAGTTTGGACTTTTAGGTTTCGGGGTTTGCCACTGTCAGTCTAATCCTCTTCCCAATTGTGCGTGTCTGGTAGTCAGCATCTCGTTATCTGTTTTTACGTGTCGTGCCGAACATCTCCTGTTCGGGATTCCGGCTCTTCCCGGACTCCGTTATTATCTATCATTGGAGCTTTGGGTTTTTGGCATTCCTTTCAGGGTTTTCTGGCTGTTAAGAACGAGCCACAGTTCAGTCGTCTAGTGTTGGGGATCAGAAAAGACACCGCCGCAGCAGCAGCAGCAGCAGCAGCAGCAAAAACACAGACTCTCCCACTCCCCCCCCTCCGCACCGCAGCAGCAGCAGCAGCAGCAGCAGCAGCAGCAGCAGCAGCAGCAAGAAAAAGCACCCGAAACACAACACCCCCCCTGCAGGAACAAAAAGGCAGCAACAGCAAAGACAAGACCACTCTTACCGTCGAGAGCGCATTTTTGCGAGGTAGCAAGAGTGCGAGGTCGCGAGATCTGCATTCTGTTGTGCTACGGAAGGTACGGCTTGACGATGAAGAGCTGGTCGTTTCCGAGAATTACCAAGAAGCAGAGGCCGCTCTGCTCTATGAATGTCGTCAGATGTCTAGAAGAGATGGATTTGCTTTGGGATCTTGGACATGCACAGACGGGTTTCAAGATGGGACTTAAGCATTCCGCACAAAGGGGTGTTCGAAAGGAATCCCCGGAAGCACATGCATGGCATGTCCGGAGGATGCAGCATGTCCGTGTCGTTTTGCCGTCTACACGACAGCCGAAGATTCGCTGGCTAGAATCATGCCCCTCACTGTTCCCCTGCGAATCTGTCACTCCAGGATGTGATCATCAACGATCCCGTGGAAGCGGTTGACATCTTGCGCTCCGAGTTCGTGTCTAAGACGCAATGTATGGAATGAGGCAGAAAATGGAATGCGCTGTTGTGCCAAACCTTGCAGGCAGCGCAGTGCTTTTTGTTGTCCAGTGTGTCGGCGTAGAGCATGCCATGCAATTCTTAGGGCCAGTGTTGTGTTTTATGCGCCCGGTTCTAAGCTCGATTTTTCTTCACGGCAGGGGTGAAAGTAAATTCAGGCAGCTAGGTTTTCAGCTATGTGAGCGGAGAGCTTGGAGAAGTGGTTTATCGCAAAGACGGTTGGGTTCAAGGGCGGAACTCACAAGACCTGCCAGGAAACACACCCTTCATCATGGGCTAGAGAGAGTCAGAGACCCTCGTCTGGGCAACTGAAGAATCCCAGGACAAGCTCGTGGACAAGATGCACGGGCAGTTTGAATCGCTTCGACACGTTGTGCAGGTAGACCGGATATTTGCTTCAAAGGTTAGAGTTGACATGAAGCAGCATCCAACTCCAAACTGCGGCCTATACCGTGATAGTCTCATGATATGTCTTAAGCTATTGTGATACCGGTACTGTTGAAGTACTATCCACTTCTACGTCTCCTGCTCCTACTTACTCCCACTCCTCCTACTCCTAATCCTCCTATTCCTCCTGCTCCTCCTACTGCCCATCCTACTCGACCTCCTCGTCCTACTCCCGCTCCTCCTGCTCCTTCCCTCTTACTCTTAGTCTTTTACTCCACTATGACCTTTACTGCTGTGTGCTTGGTCGTACTCCTGCTCATACTTTTGTCGTTGCTTTCGCTATTGCTAGTAGTAGTAGTAGTAGTAGTACTACTACTACTACTACTACTGCTACTGCTACTGCTACTGCTACTGAGCTACTGCTAACTACTGCTAACTACTGCTAACTACTGCTACTACTACTACTACCACTACTACTACTGCTGCTACTACGGCTACGACTACGACTACGACTACGACTACGACTACGACTACGACTACGACTACGACTACGACTACGACTACTACTACTACTACTACTACTACTACTAGTACTACTTGGCCTTTACTACGCATTCTCTTGCTGCTGTTGGATCTAATTTACTTGCTGTCAGCACAGCTTTTTTATGATTTAAATATATCAAGATGTGATGTCCGGATGTGAGTGATGGTGAAGGTGTCGATAACGTTGGTGGCCGTGGTGCCAATGGTGGTTCGGTGCTGGTGCTACTGCTGGTGCTTCCCTGATGATGACGATGGGGTTGCTTCCACTGCGACTTCTGGCTCCTCGTTTTGCTGCCACTGTTGCCCGGCCTGGATCCACCTGTGCTCCAGAAGCTGGGAAGCAATCCTCCCTCTGGGGCCTTCCAAGCCCTCGCATCGCCACAAGCTGGAAACAAGTTGTCCCTAGTATCGTTACTATCATGCTTTTGCTGGAGCTGTGTAGCTGGCCTCAGGCGGTCCCGCATGCCGAGCTGAAGCATCCCCGCTCTCCTATGGCTGCCGGCCGAAGCCAGCCAATGGCCGTGGCTAAGGCGGCCAACTCAAGTAAGCAAAGGTTTGGCCATTACCGAAAGTGCTTAGATAGATACCAGAATCCCAACTTGACCTTACAAGGTACGACGTCGAAGGGCGAGTCAAATCCTCCCTCCATACGCATCATACACAGGTTCTTGAATCTGCCACTGCCGTAGTTTTTTCAGAGTTTTTCAGAGGGATTGGTTCATCGCTGGTACATCGCCGTAAGTTTCAGCACTGTCAGCCTGTAATCGGGTACATTGAGGTGTTTCTACACTGGCGATTCTGTAAGTCGCCATGTCGCCGCTAGCATCTTGAATTGCCAGTGTGCCACTGTAGTCGCCTTGAGCTTGCCGCATATTTTTGGATAGTTGCACGTGTACAGTTTTTTTTTTTTTTGTGTTTTTTGTTTTTGTTTTAATGGTCCTTTTCTGTGACCGTTCCTTTATGCTTTCTCACCAAAGCTCTTGCAGGTGCTGCATCTTGAAGATTTGTTGTACTTTTTTGCTCTGGCTTTTGCTACTGCAGTTCTTGTCTTGGATGTCTCAAACTGGTAAAGTTATTTCCCTTGTTCACTTCTCTCGGTTCCGTTGGTGTGAGAGCACGGTGGCAAGGCAGAGGTCCTCAAAGGTGAGTTCACTACTCAACAGTCGCGAGCCCCGTCATGGCTCATAGCCTTTTGCTTTCTGTTGCAGGAGCCTCAGATCTTGGTGAACCACCGCATCCAGCAAAGCAGCAAAGAGCAGGTGGGACCTCAGAACAGGGCTATACAGGGCTTGGGTAAAGGTTTGTCCCTTCAGTACCCGGGAGACTTGATGGCAAAGGTTACCGAACTGTGGCGCACCCCATCATTGAGTTTGTGTCACTGTCGTGATGTTGTGAACCGCCGCTTGGAAGAGAGCGATCGGCCAACGTACCACTCAGATCCCGAGTTGGGTCATGCAGCAGAAATGTGGAGACATGAGGGCAGATTGTGACCAACAAGCTTGTCCTGCAATAATTATCCGCATGGAGAGCAACATGCTCCACTCAAGAGACTGGAGCACTACTCGGAGGCAAAGAAGACTGCAAAGCAGTTCTACTGCTAATGCGGTTCTATGCCGCTTTTGACTCATCTTGAGGGCTAGCGTGGTCGAATCGTTTCTCTTCTCACGAAATCATGTCCGGAGTTGTCCAAGCTCAGATTCATCCAATACCCAAGTCGACTTAGAGCTGTGACGCTAGAAGCATTTGTATGCGCAGTGGCCATCCTTCGAAAGGGGGAACACATATCCAGATCAGGAGCTTGGCCTGAAGGTTATTGGTATTTGCAGGTGTCGAGACCTGGAGACTGCCTGCAGGCTCTATCGAGAATACCAGTCAGAGGATGAGCATCTTCATTTTTGATGATGCGCTCTGCTCTGACAGGAGGACTCCATGCGCATCAACAGCCGCAGATACGGAGCATCCGTGGGCGGGAGGGAAGGAGCCAACGATATCCGACTCCATGGCAGGCCGTGGGAGTCGTGGGAGTGAGGTGCCTGAGGTGCTAAGCAACCACAGGTCAAAGCAGCTACAATGAGCGTGGCACATCCATCTTTGCATCATCCCGGCCAGAAGAGATCGGAAGTCTGTGAGTTGTGCTCCTCCGGGCCGAAGGTGGATGGAGCTGTCCACGCAGTTCAGTTCGGCGCAGGCGGCAGGCCCTCCTGATCACGTGAGCCCTCGTCCATACGGCTCGGACCTGATTATCGATTCAAACTGCGGAGGCAAAAACTCGCAAAGATGACCCCTTCTCCAGACCATTGAGTCATGCTTCCCGATCGCAGGCACTGGCAGTGCCGTCGACAGCGCAAGATCTGCGAGGTCAGATTGTCATCTCCGCGGACTCTTTGCATAGGTATTTCCCGAACACTGTTGCAACACGTTGGGGGTGCTTAGTTGTAATTCCAGTGTAGTCAACGCGGTCGGGTTGTGAGAGCTGTTATTTGCTATGTCGGTCGGACTCCAGCGTCCGTGGTTCTAGTTAGTGTTGTGTGCTGTGTCTAATGTGGTCGGGACTCCTGTGTCCTGAGTTTTGGTTTGCTGTTATTTACGGTCGGATTCCTGTGCCCTGGGTTCTGATCTGTGGTTTACTGTTATTTGCTGAACTCGGCTCACGACCGAATGTCTAAGGTGCTTGCTGCAGTGCATGCATGATGCGTGCACTGCATCAGCAGACTCTCAAGCCATCTTAAGTTGTCAAGCCTGAGGTAACAATTAACCATCATCATACTGATGATGACCTTTATTATCATGGTCACTGTCGTCATCTTCATCTTCACCATCACCACCAAAATCGTCATCATGACCGTCACCGCAGGCCACCACGATCTTCGTTCTAGTGAAAGGAAGATGAAGAAGTAGCCATGTGAATAGCTGTTCATCAGTTCGAGTGCAGGAGTACGTTCGCACTCACCAAGATCAAGCGATCTGGTACTGCCGAACTGCTGGATGCTCGCTTAGCTTGGCTGCAGATGTGGGACCCATCAGGCCTGGAATGCCGTACAGACACAGACCGCCTGCCCTGTTGGCAAGGACGAGCACACACACAAACACTTACTTCATAATGACACATCCGTGTATGAGACCAGGCAAAATCAGTCAGCCATCGTCTGCCACGGCAGGCAAGTTCAAGCTCGCCTGGGACGGGATTTCCATCCTGATGGTCCTGCTTCTGTTTCGCATTAGACCATCCGAGTATTACCTTGGTGGCACGATTGCGCCAACGAGGACCTGCATGCAGTTTTTGTTAAGCCCGGCTTCGGACAGCTTTCCGGGCTGCACCTTCCGGGAACACGATGACACATGCTACAAAAGCCAAACCTCTCATGCATCTGCAGCAAGCGAGGCTGGATGCTTTCACGATGCCTGTCTCGTTGGCCTGGGGATTGGATCCTGGAATGGGCTACGACCCTGACGACAGTTTTTTCCTACTGGTTACATTCGCCATCAGCTTTGCCTTCTGGGCGCTTGACATAGCCGTGCCTGCCTCAGTTGTGCGACATGCTTTGCCTGAGTTGAACGGTCCCTCTTGCGTTGGTGATGCCTTTTGAAGTTTCTGGAATTCCGTTGCATGGAATAGTGAATAGTGCTTGGCAATTGACTCGGCCCGCGAAACCACACGCCCAAGGTCAACCTCAACACCGCCATCTATCAAAATGGGAGCCTCACGAAAGTGAGGTCTGTGGTCGTGCTCGCGTACCTAAAAGGCGCGTGTCAGGGCCAACATGATGGGAGCTGCCCTGCACCTCACAAAGCTCAAAGGCTGGTTTATATTCGACCTGGCGCTGATAGTCTTGGACGTCCTGACGGCAGCTACTCTCGGGTCGGCAAACAGCCAGAATCTCAGACAGAAGCATCCGCGGAGTGGGCTGGTGGCCCCCAAGGTGCAGATTCGAAAACGGTTTCCAGTTTGTGAACAGATTTTGGCTTGGCACGGTAACCCAAGCTTGAAAGTATGATAAAAAACACGGATCCTGGCAAGAGTCGAGTGCGGTGGGCCCAACTGTTGTCGTGCAAGCCACAACCTCGATTAACCGCCGGTGAGACTCCACGTCATGGCCATGAATCGGTGTTTCTTTGTTTGCGTGGTTGCAGCAGTCCTGCCACGCTTCAACAGCTCTCAAAAGGACTCCAAAGAGGAAAGCCTGGCTCCTGACCTCTGAACTCAGATGGTACTGCGAACACGACCTTCCGAACTGCCTGGGCCTGAGTGTTCAGGTGTTGCAGTATGTTTTCAAGGAGACGTTTTGAACTGCCTCTCCGCACCTACTTCGAGGCCATTCAGGGTAATAACGGGGCTAGGTCGGCACTCAAGACTAAGCACCCCATACCACTGCCCCATGCCCAGAGTCGAACCTTTTGCTTGCGGATGTGTATTGTTCTGAGATTCGGGATGAGTGCTGCTCTCATCCCTCAGTAGTTTACGGGTTGTCACGGAAACCTCTACAAGGGCTTTTTATGGACAGTTGGCACTTCTCCGGCTTGCCATGGTGGCCAGAGTCCGAAGTGCAACTTGCCAAGGTCCGCCTTGCGCGAGCACTGCGGCTGTTGCGATTGGTCAAGATGTCCAAGTTCAACCAAGTGCTGCAGGACTGCTGCACTCTTGGCAGTGGACATGCGACAGTCCGAGATGCAACACTGCTACATACAGTCCATTGCTTGCATGCCGTGTTGCACCATGTCAACTGCACTTGATCGGCAGCTATGATGCGTCAGGAAGTGGCTGCTTCAACTGGTCGGCAGTGGATGATTCTTGTGATGGCCGCCCGGCTGAAAACTTCGAAACGCATTTCCAGTCCTGGGAAGCTCGAAGTATCCTTGCATGGTCTTTCTGCTTGCACTGTGGAGGCCATCACCAACATGTCCACCCTGATCTTGGTCGTCGCACATATCCTCACTTGCGTCTGGTTCGGAGTGGGCATGTGGACGCAGGAGACGTTGCGACAAAATTGTCGTGGTTGTCTGAAACGGAACAGCTTGCCCCGGTGACCTGCAATCCAATCCGTCGTAGTCTTCAATGACAGCACTTCTGTCCAAGCTTGAGCTTCAGTCCACTGGGGCTTGCCAGGAGCGCTATGAGGATAGCCTGCGTCAGTCTGCCACTTTTCTTCTAAAAGTTATACAAAGCCAATCATATCATAGCTATATAACCAACCGTATCATATAGCCATATATAGAGTGCAGAGTGTCGAGCGTTGGCCCAGGCCATTCCTCTTCTTTCGCGGAGCTGGGTAGCGGAGGCCGATGCCCTCAACGTGCCAGGACCTTCGCCCGTCTCTGACGAAACAGGGAGATACGGGAAGGGCGGGTTATATAACCACCGAGTGTGTGGGGTGCACGGTGATCCCAGCTAGAGCGAGAGGAGAACCACATTTTTGGTGCGTTCTTTGTGTGTTTTCTTCGACTTTGACCAGGATGGGTTCAGTATCTACACTCGTTCCGCTTCATCCTGAACAATCCCTCGCCGGCTCCGCTTGCCCCGGGTAGCGACGTGGAGCGTTTGGTGGACATCTTCATGTACGCCAGAACCTGAGGCTGTCAGTCCAGGTGGGTACAACCCCGTCGTTCTTTGGTCTGCAGCATGTGCAGCTTCTAGGGATTTTTGTGTTTCGTCTTGAGCCCCCGAGATCTTCTGCCTCGTCATCATTGGTACATCGATTTCCACCATCTCCAGCACGCTGGCTGAGCTGCGGGCCATGAACGAGGCGCTCCTCCGGCTAGATGGGGAGCATTCAGATCAGCCTGAGGTTGTCCCGCTCTGCGGTATGCGTTTCCAGCTGTCAGCAGGAGCATGCCCGGCAACGCAGAGAAATCCGAATCTACCTGACGAACCAGAACGCTCAGTTCGACCTTGTCTCCCGAATTATGAAGTTCGTGGTGCCTTTGGCTTGAGGATTTGAGTCCGGTTTCGCTGGTTTGCATACCTGGCAGCATGCTAAGGATTACAAACTGGAGAAGATGTCTCCAACCAACTTCGACAGCTCTTTAATCTCAAGCACGCTGCAGACAGAGCTGTACGTTGGTCAGAGGAGCCTTACGGGACAGCAGATCAAGTAATTCTCACGGCGTGTGCTTGGGACGTCCATGTTTCCAGGTACCGCCGTGGAGAAGCGGATTAGGTTTTCCGAAGTTGCCATGCCTGCGCGGATGCAGGAGCGGCTTCCTTTCACCGTTGCCGATATTTCTTTTGACCGAAGAGGCGCGGCCGGCTCAAGGCTATGTGCAGGCCTTGAGATCACCTGATACAGACATGTTTTTGCAGGCGTACCACGACGTCTTCGCAGCTGCTTGTGCCGTACTCAAGAAGGACATTTATGAGACTGGCGAAGCCGTTTTCAGTGCTGGCGGCTTCTCCACTGCTCTTCACATCACCACAACAGGACCCGGTAGTGTTTGGCAGGGGACGCACCAGTGCATCAGATTCATCCGACTTCCGACGTGCATAGTCGTCCGGAGCATTTGTGCGAGGTTGTACGAGGGTAGGGACCTCGCTCCCTTTGCGGATCCAGTCTGAGGATCTCTGCTGTTGAGTTCCATGATGATTTGGATGATCCGGCGCCGGCAGGAGCCTACAAGTTCTTCGATTTTAACGGAAAAGAGAAGACGATGGAAGGAGTGCACTGGTTTGAGGAGTTGAGCCTCTATGCCGAGGTCCTGCTGTAGCTTACCCGCAAACGTGCCATTGTGGTGTTCAGGTTCAGAGTTGACAGAGCTGAACAGCTCGGAGTTGAAGTGAAGCCGAACCTGCCCACGAGCACTTGCGCAAGAAATCCTTCAGTGCTTGCTTGTGGCTCAGGCACCGGACAACGCTGACAGCGTTGACTTTTGCAGGACACATGCTGATTCATGGGAGAGGTGTTAAATCCGTTCTTGGCTCGGCACTCGTCAGGCATCTGTGTGCCCTTCAACAGCTGATTGTTTAACTTTAGGGAAAGTTTTTGAGTGCTTTGTTGAAGTTTCGAGTTTGGGCTGGCATCCAAAGGGGTCGGTAGAGACGGGAAGACAGCAGCATTAGTTGTAGCAGCAGCAGCAGCAGCAGCAGCAGCAGCAGCAGCCGCGGCAGCAGCAGCAGCAGCAGCAGCAGGAACAGGAGCAGCAGCAGCAGTAGCAACAGCAGCAGCAGGAGTAGTAGTAGTAGTAGTAGTAGTAGTAGCAGCAGCAGTAGTAGTAGTAGTAGTAGAAACACTAGTAATAATTAAGACTAAAACTCAGTATAATAACATTATAATTGTAATAA